ATCACCATAGAAAGCTTGTAAGTCCATCTTCTGCCTATAACTGATTGGAATACCTAAAATGGGGCTACAACGTGCTCAGTGAAGGAGGCTTCCTGCGGATCCTCTGCAATACATAAGACTATAGGTGGAAGCCTGAACCACATTCAGATCGCCAGAGATGGGAAATTCCCACTTGAAAGGACAAGCACACCAACCTTGAGTGTCTAGAAAAACAGAAGATACTTCTTGAAAGAAAGACCTACAGGAAAAATACAAAACAACATAGGCAGAACGACTGTTACTAGAAGAACAAGCAACATGCTTGCCCAGGAAACATCAAGGCAAATGGTCGGGTCCCCTCAGTGCAAACCCCCTTCCAAGACTAAGACTCAGTGGGAATACATGCTGTGATTGGTGACCACACTCGACACTGATAAGGGGAAGTGAGGGAAAAACAGCAATGAAGCGGTCAGCTAAGCCCTACAATGTTCAATAAACTTCTGTGAACCCGGGTGAAGACCTGGTTGGCCAGCAGTGTGGCAAGACCTGGGGACTTTTGGGCCCAGATTCAGTGACATAGCCACAGAGGACTAGAGTGGAGAGTGAAGTGTCCAGCTGATAAGAATAGAGGGCATATGCATAAGAACACCCACACCTGCAGATAATACCCCCTTGTCCTGGCTTCAATGACTGGATGATCAGAGCTCAACCAGAAGTAAAAAGAAGGAGGAAAAAAAAAAAAAGTATTCTCATACAATTTGATGAACTTGACCTACACCTATGGAAGCAGTAACTCAAAAGAGGGAACAAGTCCTAACAGCAAGAATCATTCCCACACCCTCCATACACAGAGTTGGCAGGGATGGGCAACTTGGACATTGGCTACCCAAAATGGCGGTGGGGAGCTACAAAGGCAAGAAGTGACTGGCTTACAAGCTTTCAAGAGGGAACCTAGTTCCAGAGGGCCTGGAGGAAGGTAGAATCTCCAGTGAGTAGTATTCAATCTGACTAGCCAAGGCTGATGCAGTGAAATACAGACGGGTCTCTTGTGATACAATAGTGAATAATTGTTATCAGCACTGATTGTGAGGGTTGGAAATGTAAAGGTAGACATTTTATATCAAGGAGGTTGTGGGGAGTGATTAACTTTTCAGTCTAGGAGCGGAGGTCCCTAGGAACATCAAGGGAGAAGAGCAGAGACTGGGACCCTACCCAGAGAATCAGTGATGTCTGAAATGGAGCCAGAGATGATGATATGGAGCAATGGAGCAGCTGAAGACTTTAGATCCAGAGAGGGAGAGCGAGTGTGTGCTGAAGACCTGGGGGGCACGGGGGAAGGATTGCACAGAGGGGATTGGAATCATGGCAATGAGATGATATACGATAGAATGAATGTAAAACCAATGTTCTCTTATGTAAACTATCACATAACTCACAATAAAACATTTAAATTAAAAAAAAAAAAGATGGAAGGAATACACAGAGTCACTGTACCAAATAGGAATGGTAGATGCCCACCCACTTCAAGTAGTAGCATATGATTAAGAGCCAGTGATACTGAAAAAGTCCAAGATGCACTGAAGGAATTTTGGAAAAGAACCAGGCTCCAGGAATTGATGGTGTACAAACTGAAATCTTTCAATGAAGTGATGCAGCACTGGGCGCTTACTAACTTTGCCAAGGAATCTTAAAACACAGCTACCTGGCCAACCGATTAGAAGACATCCATATTTGTACCCATTTCAAAGAGAGGTGACGCAACAGAATGCAGAAATCATCAGACAATATAATTAATATCATAGGCAAGTAAAATTTGGCTAAAGGTAATTTTTAATATCAGACATGCTCACTATAAGAAAATCAGATAAGGGGTCTTCAGAAAGTTCATTGAAAAATTCCATACACAGTGTGTTTCATATCATTAACTGCAATCCCCATAATATACCATCATTTATCCCACTGCTTCCCTGTGTTTGCTTTTTCCAATCCTCCTCTTTCCTAACTATTCTGAATTTTGTCCTTGGGTCAATGCTGCCCTTTCGATCTCAAATGGTTGGTTACAGAAAGGTGTGCATACCTCACTAGTATTACTATTCCTTTTATCGTCCTATTGTTTGGCTGAAAAATTGAGTCATCGGGTGAACTCATTTCCAGACGAGAGGGGTGACTAAAGGCCACAGTCTCAAGGGTTCTACCAGTCTCTATCCCACCAGTAAGTCTGTTTTTTTAATGACTTTTGAGTTTTGTTCCACATTTTTCTCCCACTTTATCCTGGACCTTTTAATCTGATCCTTTTCAGAGCAGTTGGGAGTGGTAACCAGGCACCATTTATTTCTTTTGGTCTGAGGGACATGGAGAGTGATACTCCTGTGGTCCATTTGTCCAGGGGACTAACTGTTTCTATATATCTCAATTTTCTTCATTCTTCTTTCTTCAGATGGGGAGAGACCAACAGCTGTCCCTTAAATGGCCATCGTGAGCTTTTAGGACCATAATTATTACTAATCAAAGAAGGTTACTGAACGTTGTGTCTGTGCACTATGCTATGCTAATCAACCTTAGTTTTCCCCAAGACTATGGTCCTGAGCCTCCAGGACCCATTCAATGAACTTTTTGAAGCCCCTTCATATGAGTATTTGATCCTTGATATGGTGGTGACAGTACGATATTTTTAAAGTTCTTTGGAATAAATTTTAACTGCTAAAGAAAGAAATGACTATGAGACTCACGTGCACAGAATCACAAGAGAACAAGGGCATAATTCCTGGTACTGAAGGCAGCATTTTAATACTCGATCATCATTGTTCTCATCACTCAATCCATCTGTAAATTTAGCAAAAGCAATTATTAATAGGCAACTAGAATGTGAATGCCACACCAATTAGAATCTGGAATGTACTTACAAATCAAAAACATTTCAAAGAAAAAAAGCTTTTAAATAAAAAGGGGAAAATTAGATACAGCAAAATAATGTCTGAAAATTCAGGATCTAGAATTCAAGTAGATTACAGTTGTGGATTGCATAAAGTACTTAGTATTACTTCTAAAATGAAACAGTATATACCTGTTAAAAAACACAAGGAAAAAAATGTGATTTGTTTATAAAATGCCAAACCAGAAACCAAAAGCTACAAATTATAGTTTTAATTTGCTCATTTAAAGATTATAAGTAAACTGTATCATGCTCAAAATTACCTCTGTAAAGTAATGGGCGACTTTACTATCAACAACATAGCCGTTTCTTATGCCTGTTTTTCCTTAACCTCTAAAACAATAAAATTCAGATATGTACAGAAGAGGGTAATATGAAAGAGAGCAACGGGAAGAGAACATAAAAAGTAGTTTCTAACAAACATTAATCAATAGTCAATAGGTGTCATATGGTATTTTCCAAGCCTTAAAACATGTAGTGAAAATTCACTTGTTGTAAAAATAATGTGCAAAAATAGGGCCTAAGATAGCCTGCATCAGAACTACTTAGGGCATCTGTTTAGCATCCAGATTCCAGGATCACACTCCCTTGACATACTTCTAGATTAGAATCTTTGGTGTCTGGATCCCGAGAAATTCAACACAAACAAAGCAATGAGCTCAACCTTGATCTCAGTGTACTTTTTTTTTTTCACCTCAATTTTCAGCCCACCCACATTACTTAAATCAGTCCTCTGTAATCATTCAAACTAGGAAACTCTCTGTCATTCAACTAATAAATATTTATAATGAGTCCAGTTTGTGCTAGGTCCCTGTGTGAGTAAACTGGAGATGGGAAGACATACTCTTCAGGAGTTTCTAGTAGAGAAATTTACACAGAGATGAGTCAGAGGAAGATGTGACCATGAGCCTTAATCAGATGACTAGAGAGCAAGACACATATATTACAGGGGCTATTTTCCTTCTTTCAGATCAGAGAGTAAAGACTATTATTAATACAAAATGGTGGCTCAAGGTTTTTAGTCAACTTCAAAAACTCAATTCAGCACATACAAAATATGGTGTAAAGGTAACAGTACACTGTTGTCAATGTATAAAGTTAAAGATGATCTGTACTGTCATGTTTCCTAAGATACACCTAAAGCAGAAAGAACAGTAATGAAACACTTAGTCATGTCATTCAACAAATAGTTCTAGGACACAACCAAACACTTTCCAATACTGGCTTTCTAGAACTGAAGGCTTTATGTCTCAATCAAATTTTGATTGGCTTTCTAGATTTGAAGGCTTATGTCTCAATCAAAAGGAGACAACTCAGTCAACCAGTATAACATGATTCACACAAATCATTGTATGCATCCTGGTTAAGTGAGTAGCATCTGGGGTCTTAAACTTTTGTGAATAGCTCTCTTAAGACAAAACTACAGGTCTCTATTTGCCAGGGCTGAAACAAACAAAAAAAAAGGTCATCAAAAGCTTAGAGAAGAAAATATGCCTACACCAGCCACGACTTCATCTAGTTGGGAACCAGAAAAACTAGGTAATGCCCAGCTACCACACTGACCGTTCTGATCAGGGTCACAACAGTTGGCCCAAAATAGAAAGGGAGAAAAATATGGAGAAGTCAAATTTTTATTTAAAAAAATAATAAAGTCAGACAAACTGTAACAGCAGAGAACAGAGGCCTCCCTGAGATGTTGCTCTGAGACATTCTTTACACCTCGAACCAAGCCTAACCCCAAGATAACCTCTAGAAAAACAGCAGAGTAGCACCGAAAAAAAAGGATGTTACCCATAAGATCAGTTCCTACCAAAAACTATCATGAGACCAAAAGGTCAACAGTTAGTCAAAAGCAAAGATGAGAAGATAAGGGGACAAGAAAACTGGAGTGGAGTATAGGCATTCTTCAGAGATAGTTTGGGTTCAGTCCCAGGCCATTTCAATAAAGTTAATATCACCATAAAGTGAGCTGCACACATTTTAGGGTTTCCTAGTGCACATAAAACTTACATTTACACTATTCTGTAGTCTATTAAATATGTAACTGCATATGACAAAGTTTGAAATATTCTGAGAATCACCAAAGCATGACAGAGACACAAAGTGAGCACAAGTTGTTGGAAAATGGAGCTGAGAGACTTCCTTGACCCAGGTTTGTTGCAAATCTTTAATTTGTAAAAGACATAGCATCTGTAAGTGCAATAAAGCACAGCACAATAAGATGAGGTATGTCTTACTGGACAGGGAACCAGCTGAACACAACTAAAGAGAATGCTTACAATTGTGATAAATTAACTACTACCACTGAACAATTTGTGTGAAATGATCAAATAAGAAATTAAGTACTATATAAATTTTCACCAAAAACTCAATAAAATATTACTAAAAACAAAGAAGCTCTGGTAGCATAGTGGTTACAAGTAGGGCTGCTAACCTCAAGGTCAGCAGTTCAAAACTACTCATTCCATGGGAGAAAGATGATGCTTTCTGCATCTGTAAAGATTTACAGCCTTGGAAACCCTATACAGGGTTGCTATGCATCAGAACCTACTCCATGGCACACAACCAACACCATCAAAACCAAAAAACCTCAAACATATCATACTAAGTTTCTATTCAGAATGCATTGTATCTGGAACATACTATTATTTTGTTACAGTTTAAGTGCTGTCAAGTCAGTTTCAACTCAGCAACCCTGTATAGTTTCTAATGAGCAGTTGGTGAGTTTGAACCGACAATCTTACAGTTCAAACTGACGTTGCAGTCCAGGGCTTATCCTACAGTGCCACATCAGAACTCTATACACAATTAGAACTGTATTAAGATGAATTCCTCCAGCTGTTATAATGAGGACAAGTAAACATCACCGATTCATGATAATGGAAAATATTGTAAATCTACATATGTAAAGTCTGAATTGGAAAAAATCAGATTCTTTTTAAAGAAAAATATCTTCTAAACATATGTATTAACCCAGCAGGGTCAATAACATTCCTTTATACAGCGATGTTGTCAACAGTTCTTTATACAGAGATTTTTTAGTAAGTTATATAAAACAAGGAGTCCTTGTATGGTATAAATGGTTAACCCACTCAGCTGCTAACAGAAAGGGTGGACATTTATGTCCATCCAGCGGTGCCTCAGAATAAAGACCTGGAAATCTACTGAAACATCAATGATTGCAAATTTTAAGAAACACAGTTTTACTCTGAAACACGTGTGATCTCCACAGTTAGAATCAACTCAATGTTGACTTTATAAACACATAAGCATAAGGAACACAATTAGAATTTAGGTCTACAGTAATTAGAAAATTACTTAAACTGCTATAAAAATAAAATCAGGGGAAAATCTATAGGTCTCTATTACAAAGACACCTCCTTAATAAAGATTCTGACAAAGCACAGAATAAACAATGCCTGCTTCTACAGCATATTATCTGCACTAAAGTGATAAAATAGAAACTTAGATCATTTACTCAACAATGGCATTTTAAAAAAATGAATCCAAAGTACTGTAATATAGACTATACATATAGAACAATATGGTCATTGTCTATGAATTAGGGACAAAGACCAAGAAGGGCTAAGAAAAGCAGGAAATTACAATCAAAGACCACCAAATTAGACACCCCCCCCAAGTCATCAGCATGCCCTGCCATTTTACAGTCCAATGGCCACAAATTTTTAAATAGGCTTGAACATCCCCCTCCACTAATTAGCACCTAAACAAGTTCAAATTATCAGAAAGAGATCTAAGAGATTAATACTTACAAAGTTTTTGAGAAGCAAGTTGCATTGACTAACCCCATACCTTTCTATCTTGATTTTTGAGGCTGTCATTGATGAAATGAACTGCGGGTATAGCTTTATGCTGGGCATGTTTTAATAATTTTCCTGCCTTCATGCGATCCAATTCTTGCACAACCACCCAGGGAATTATCAACACAAATCTGTCAAAGCCTAAAAAATGAAAAAGAAACTTTAGAAGTTAATAAATACTTATTGAGTTACTAAACTGAACTGGTGTACTGAAATTGAGAGTTATGAGGAAAATAGTTCTAACCTTTATAAAGAATTCACAATGTAAATGCAGAGACAATACATAAAAACAGGAAAATTAAAAATGACATGTGACAAAAGAATGTTAAAAAATAAACACTATTGGAGGTAAAAGACGAGCAAATTTGGATTCCTAGAGTAACCTGTGTTGTCTGTTGTTAAGTGCTGTTGAGTCATTTCTGACTCACAGCGACCCTGCATAGGGTTTCTGAGGAGTGGCTAGGGATTTTGAACCTATGACCTTGTGGTTAACAGTCCAGTGCTAATCCTGTAGTGTCACATCAGGCAGGACCCTATAGACACTCATATCTTACTTTGCTGATGATGCTTTATATATACGCTTAATATGCATATCCAAATGTGAATACCACAGCACTGTTAACATCAGATCAAGCTAGAAAAGCATAATCAGTAAATATATTTTGTAAATACCTGGTATTTCTGTTGTCTTCAAAATTCTAACAAATTTGAGATGATTCATCAAAATATTTGTGTCAATAACAATTAGAAGACTTTTGTCTGAAGAAGTATTTTCTAGAGAAAAATGACAAAGTCATGATTTTAATACTCAATCATTTCATGACACAGTGAAACCCATGAGAACCAGAATTCAACGGGTCTGCCTTGTTTTTCAGGTCTCCCCTATTATATATCTTTGACAGTCTTGCCACTATTTTGTTGTTACTTTTAGCACAAAATATTTGGTTTTTCCTTCAAATATTGAGTTAGTATATGAGGAACATATATTAATTAAATTTTTGGTATTACAGAACTTTTCATAGCATTCTTTAGAAAAGAAAGTCCTTTAGACGACGAACAGAAAATTGCTTTCTCCAATTACTGAGAAAGAACTGCAGTGTTTAATTACTCACTGCTAGAATATAACGAATTGCTTATGGGTGGATTTTAAATAAAAGTTGACTTGCCCCAGCACTATGTTTCTAAATCTTGTCTTGGATTTTTGGTAAAAGTACCCTTAGGGATTGTAGGTTAAATTTAGTTATCACCTGAGTAAAACATAATTAAAAAGGTAAATATGGGTAAAAAAAACAAAAACATAAAGCAATGCCAACATTATCACTTCATAGGGCTTTTTAGAGGATCAGATAAGTTAATGCAAATGAAAAACCTTAGTAAATTAAAAAATGCAATGTGACTGTAAGGCGTATTACTATTTTTGTAAATAAAATTGAAAATAGTAAAATAATGAATTTTAAATAAGCTCTACCATTTATCTTCCCCCAGTAGCAAGAATGATGAAAATTTGACAATACAAACAAAAGAAATCTATTAAGATAATACCTTTAAGCAATTCGCATAATTTTTTATCAGTGCTTTACATAGCTGAAATTGTTAAAAGGTATGATTATAAGTAATAAAACATAATTCCTAAGTCCAATAACTACTGCCCCTTGGTGAGAAGAAAAATAAAATCTAAATGCCTAATATATGAGATATATAAAACAAAGGATGGTAAGACAAAATATATCTGATTCCTAGGGTTAAAACAACATATTTTACTATTTTTCATCTAAATATTATAAAACAGAAATATTGGCATATTAACTCTTAAGCAAGCATGTTGTTGTTGTTGTTGTTATGTGCCGTGGAGTCGGTTCCGACTCATAGCGAGAGACCCTGTAGAGGGTTTCCGAGGCTGCAAATCTTTACGGGAGCAGAACGACTCATCTTTCTCCCACGGAATAGCTGGTGGTTTTGAACTGCTGACCTTGCAGTTCGTAGCCTGATTAGTAACCACTACGCTACCAGAGCTCCATAGCTCATAAATATTAAATGCAAGTCATACCAGTAGAAGAATGTACATCAGCTTCCACCAAGTCAATTTCCATATTCATTAACTCTTCATAAGGTGGAACCACAGTTAAGTCCATAGTTTTTCCCACACGTGCAGCATGAAGCTCTTCTACGATCTGCATCTAAATCATGAAAGACTCATGGTAAAATATTTATTTACTCTGCAGATTATGAAGAAAAAGAAAGCAATTAGTTCACTTAAGATGAGATTTGTCTGTGTACAGAAAAAAATTTACAAAAATAGAGGCAGCATGGTAAAAGAAAAGAGATTCTTAAACATGGTTTTAAAAACAATTCTCTTATCACCCTTATAACCTGAGACATATAAATTACTTAAGTGCTTCTGGTCTTCATTTGCTCATCTGTAAGTTAAGAATATTAAATACCTATGTCCTTTTCAGATTTTTGTGATGATAAATGAAATAAGCTGTATGAATCACTTCACACAGATCCTAGTATATAGCAAACCTTCAAAAGAAGTTAATTCTCAGTCACTTTCTCATTTCAAAATACTTTAGGGTCCAAAAATACTTTAACATGGTTAATGACTATTTTCCTGAGATTTCTAAAAGGGTTTGTAAACCATCAAAAATTGAGATCTAGAACTTAAGACCCTTCTTGTCTCAGGGAAGTAGTTCTGTGTTCATTTACATACACACACACACACACACACACATATGGAGTTCTGGTTGTGTAGTGGTTAAAAGCCCGGCTGCCAACCTCAAGATCAGCAGTTTGAAACTACCAGCGGTTCCACGGCAGAAAGATGAGGTTTTCTGCTCCTGTAAAGATTAACAGCCTGTGCAGGGTCGCTATGAGTCAGAACCGACTCCACCGTACTTAACAACAACAACAACAACACACACACACATATATATGGAGCTCTGGTAGCACAGTGGTTACGAATTGGGCTGCTAACCTCAAGGTCAGCAGTTAGAAACTACCAGTTGTTCTGAGGCAGAAAGCTAAGGCTTTCTGCTAACGTAAAGATTTACAACCTCGGAAACCCTGTACAGGGTCACTATAAGTCGGAACTGACTCCATGGCATACAACCACCACCATATATATATATATATATATAAAGAAATGAAAATATAATCTAACTTAGTTCTTTAGTTATAGAGTCAAGAAATATTTCCTTGTTCTAGTAGGGCGTACTAACACTCAAGACTGGAAAATACAACTTCCTGTCACAAATAAAGAAGGAATGACTCTAATTTAAAAAGTGACTTTTAATAGAAAAATACAAAATATTAATATTTTAGGATGAGAGAGCATAAACTTTTATCCAGTAATTCCTTCAGGGTCAATCAGGAGATCTGGTTAGGAAATGAAACAACAGGTACAAGTACACACAGTATCCTCTCACAGATTTTATCTCACTGCTGAGTAGAAAAATGATATAAACGCTTGTTATTATCATACTGCATTTTGACAATCCCAGGCATATAAAAATCATGATAAAATTAAATCAAATTTCAGATAAGGTGTGGGGTCTTAGGCGCCCTGGTCTTCATTGAAAACAGATTAATTTATTAGAAACAATGGCAAAAAAAAAAAAATGAACAAGTAAACAATGTTTTTCTAAAGAGTTTCTGATGATGGCTTTTTAGAAACTTACACACTGATTTTAAAAAACACATCACTATCATTTTCATATTATCAAGGTTTCTAAATTTTGTTATATTAAAAGGAGAAACAATTTCATTAAAACTATTCAAAGTAAGTGACTATATCAGTAACCTCTTGATCTGTATCTTGAAGATTTTCAGGTGGTACCAAAGAACACGGTGCGTCAAAACTCTGAAACGAGAAGTACTTTCTTTAGTTAAGACTGAAGCATATACCCAGTGCAACATTTTTCAACCTAACCACTACTGACATTTGGGGTCAAGTAATTTTTTGTGTGGGGGCTGTCTTGTGTACTGTAAGATGTTTAAAGTATCCCTGGCCTATACCCACTGAATGCCAATAGCACCTTTCCCTGACCTCCGACCCTTTATCTCCTCACCGTCCACACCCCACTTCCATTTCTTGTATCCTAGGGGATATTTGTCAAAACTTTCTCTGGGCACTGTTAAATACTCCCTAGGGTCAAAGTTGTTCCTAGAACAAAACATCTAGAAATTTTTTTAAAGCCTCATTCTCTCAAGACACAAAAAATGGTAGAAATGCTTTAGGGTTTATGGGTTAATGCGCTGGACTGCAAGATTGGTTTGAACTGCGAGGCTGGAGATTCAAATTTACCAGCTACTTCTTGGAAACCCTATATAGGGTTGCTATGAGTCAGAACCAACTCAATGGCACTCAACAACAACAACATTCATATATCTGGACTTCTGGTGTGGCGTTGTTGGATTGGCACTGCAATGCAAACCACAAAGATAGCAGTTTAAACCCACCATCTGCTCCTCGGAAACCCTATACAGGGCAGCTATGAGTTGGAGCCGAGTCGACAGCACTTAACAACAACAAATTCAAAGACTAACACTATATGCCACTTTTTAAGAAACAGAAAAGAACCCTGGAAAAGGTAAATACATTGAACATTAGTTGTGGGACAATTCATCCAAGTAATAGCTGAACTTTTCAGTTTAGCAGCCATGTTCTTTAACCACCAGAGCTCCTTAGGTACAAACTACAAATCCTCTTTAATAAAGTAGATCATATGTAGAAATACTTTACTGAGAATTCAGCTTCTACCCTTTCCAACATTAAACTTTACATAGCATAAAACCATACATATCACATGTACGGGGTCCATGACTTCAATATGTAATGTTCCTTTTGCCATCTGACTTTAAATCTTATTTGATCTTTAAGATTTGCTTAGACAAACAAGTGCCAAATAAACTGAAATTATTATCAGAGCTTTCCTCAACTTGTTTTAAGACTTTCTGCTCCCTTCCATAGATTACTACCACACTTTACCTTTTATCTATACATCACCTCAGTTGTTTCAATGAATTGTCTGTCATCCAACAATCCAGAAAAGTTCACAGTAATTGTCCCTGATAACTTCCTATTACAATTGAAAATCTTAGTGTATATCTAAATGAATGCCTCCACCTACAAATTTTAAATTTATGTGAACCATTTCCATCATCTATTTCAACTCACAGCAACCCTATATGACAAGGTAGAACTGCCTCCACTGGGTTTCCAAGCTATAAATCTTTCTGGAACCAGCCTAGAAATCTTCCTCCCATGGAGCAGCTGGTGGGTTTGACCACAACAACCTTAGAAAACACTTTCTTAACTCACCCAAAGTCTTATACTTGTACCACCACATCCAATTCTTAGGCACCTAAAATTTATTCACCATATTGCAAGAATAATTGTTTACTAATCTGCTTGAGACCTTCTCAAGGTCATTTTATTCATCTCTAAGCCCCTATTGTTGTTGTTATATGCTGTCGAGTAGGTTTCTACTCATAGCAGCCCTGTATAGGGTTTCCGAAGAGCAGCTGGTGAGTCTGAACTGCCAGCCCTGCAGTTCAAACTGACCTTGTGGGCCACTATATTATCCTATAGCGCCACACCAGGACTCCTAAGCCCCTAGAACCTAGAATAGAACCTCTAACTGATGTTTGATAAATAAATTCTTACCTTACATACTTGTGTGAATTAAGTTGGATGCTGTCTGCAAATGTGTGTTATAAAAAACCTCTAGAACATTAATTTGCAAAGGTGGGCAGGTATGCAACCTGAGAGGGGTCTATATCCTACGACTATAAAATCTAAGAAACAAAAGAAGTTATTTTCTTTTTAGGAAAGTATAACCAGATTACTAAATTACAGGACTACTAAATCCAGAAAATTAAACTGTTTCCTTATAAAGTACACTCATGACTTTATAATTATTTATTGAGGAATTATAGAGGAAGATAAAATAGAGTACTAAGATGACTGCTGTCAACAGTCTATCTAGAATACGGATAATACATACTTGCTGCTCTTGTATCTAAATGATTTTAGGTCAGATAGGGTTGCTAGTTAAAGAATTTTCATTCGAACAACTGGTTAGGTAGCATGTTACTGAGGTATACGCAATGGACTGTTAACCGAAAGGCTGGCAGTTTAAACCCACCAGTTGCTCCTCGGCAACCCAATACAGGATCGTTACAAGTTGGAACAGATTCAACGGCACTTTACAACAACAGTTATATGAAAAATCCCTCTCCCTACTACTTATTATTGGTGCTACATGCCTCTGTTGATTTGTACAGTAAATAACTCTATATAAACAAGTGGTTAAGAAGCCAAAAGAAAACATAAGATACACTACAAGCTTTTCTCATACTATTTCTCAGATGAACAATATAAGGGGAATACAAAAAAATGATACAATAATTATTACTGAACATTCATTCTGGCAACTTCCAGTTCTTTTCTTCTGTTCTACTTTAAAATAGAAACACCTAGAAGAAACACTGGTCATCTTACCAGCTATGAGAGAAGTAAAAAGAATGAACTTCATTCCTTACCTCTTTGGGACTCTTCAAATTCATTTTAACTAAAGGCATTCCCTTCTCAAGCTCTTTTGGCCTCTCAAATTATGATCCTTCCATTTTTCATAAGGAATAGCTTACTTCTGCAATTTATAGTCTCAATATTTAAAACCAGGTAGGCTCAATCACCTCTGTTTATAAGACACATTCCCTAGGTTTCGGAAGTTTTGAAATTCTAAGTTCTGGAGCCCCAAAATTCTAAAAGTTCTCTTTAAAATAAATAATTGACCATAGAAACAATACTATAGAGATTAGGTTGTCAAATTAGTCTACAAAGTGCCTATTTATTACATGATTTAGAGGCAAAATAGATGTGCTGCTAGATCTTGCAAATGCAGTTCCCTCTATGTGGAATTCTCCCATCTGTCCCCACCTTACCACACCCCACTTGAATGACTGCTATTCATTCTTTTATTTTTATTTACTATCTCCTTGGGGAGTGGTGGCTTCCTATAATAAGCATTGGACTACAAACCACCAGGTCTGAAGTTAAAGCCCACCAGCCACTCCTCAGGAAAGATGAGGCTTTCTGCTCCTGCAAGATTTAAAAAAGCCTCAGAGATCGCTATGAGTGGGAATCAACTCCATGACTCTTAACAACCACAACACCCCCTTAGTAAATCTTTTTAAACGAATCCCTCCACAGTATAACCAAGGCCACATTAATCCACCTCTGCAGATACCACACTATGTGACAAGAGACTACCTACTTAATGGTATGTGTCTTCATATGAATGTCTTTCAAAACAGAGACGATGCGTGCCTTTCAAGTTATACTGCTGCAATGTCTGGCACATAGTGACACACAATAAAAACTTTGTCAAAGGAATAAGCTCTTCAGAATATTAACCCGAGTGGTCCCTATACCTAGGGTTGAAGAAGAGCTTAAAAGATTGTTGTAAACACGTCTGTCAAACAAAGGACTATCTACAGTTAGGTTTCTTTTTTCAGTTTTACAAATTCTCTTTGATGACAGGTCCTTGAAATTTGCCAGAATACCTTCTTAAGAGAGTTGTGTTTAAAGGGGGCAAAATAAAGAAACCAACGTGTATCTTCATGACTAAATTTGAATCAGTCTTCTATGATCATCAGTAACCAAAACGACACAAACCTGTTATATTAAAACAAAACCTACAATCCTTATTTCACACTACCTTACCTGAGTTAGATTTTTACTAGAACTTGAATTGTTACTTTCTTGATGCTCATGATACTTTGCTTTCCACTTACGAACAGTCTTACATGTAGTATCTGAAATGAAATGTTCAATTTTGTGCCTACTCAAATTTAATGAAACCTGGGAGCTTTCCAGGCATTCTTCTTCCTTCTGCTTAGTCTTTGACTTGTTAGAATCTATACTTAAGACATTTTCTTCCACAATCTTCTGGAGACTATCACGAAATTTTACTGGAATTTTGAAACTGATCTTCCTTCTTCTAGGCTTCAGTGGTTCCTTAATTATCTTGTTGGAATTATAATCCTTAGAAAAGTCATTGCTCTTGCATTTCTCTAAGACATATCTTTCTGAACTCTCTCTAAATTTATTGCACCGTTCTTTTTTGAATTCGTTCATCTTCTGGCTTTGATCAAGTAAATGAGGCCATTTTTTCTCACTTGTATTACCTGCAGCTTTAGGTTTCAAATCTTTAGTAATTGTAGGACTGCCCAGATTTTTAGGTTCACACTTACTCTGAACACTTGTTAATTTACTATCTTTAAATTTAAACTCTGCACATTCACTGATATTTGTTTTAGTTCCATTTGAAGAAGGATTCTGTGAACTAATCTGGTCATCATTTGAAAAAGATGTTGCTTGAAGTTTACCAGGTCCTTGAAATGAAAAACTGATTTTTGGCCTCTTTCTTGAAGTATCAGTTGCTACACTGAATCTGTAAAACATCATAGATACATAGGTTATATTACATGCATATATAATTTTATGCTGTATGATTTCACATAGCACATGACACAATTGGGCTGACATTAACTTCAAAAAAAGTAAAAAACGGCTACCTTAAGATTAAGTGGAAAGGATTACTCATTAAACAGTTTTAGAATAACTGATTGGTTATTTGGGGAAAAAAATCAATTTATAATTTTCTATAATACCATATGGACTCCTGGTGTGGTGCTATAAGGTAAGTTACATAGGATAAACTCAAGGTCGGTTTTAACCACAAGTTGGTAGCTCAAACTCACCAGCCACTCCTCACCAGACGCTATACTGGGTCACTATGAGTCAGAACCAACTCAACAGCACTTAACAACATAACAATAATACCATATGGGAACACAGTGACTCCATATGATTAACACTGAATTGCAAACCACAAGGTTTGTGGTTCGAGCCCATCAGCCATATGAGACTTTCTACTCCCAAGAAAATGTAAAGTCTCAGAAATCCTATACAGGGTCACTATGAGTCAGAACCGACTCGACAGCACATAGCAACAACAACAATAGCATAATACTATACAAATAAACCCCAAATGGATTAAAAATTTATTTAAAATAAGTATAAATTATTATTATTATTACTATCCTTTATATTACACCATTAAAAACCAGAAGGCAAAAAGTGACTGATTTCTAAAAGGGCAACTTTCTAAGTTTAATAGCAGTGGAAGAAATTACACATGAAAACAGTGATAATACACACATATGTGACTATTTAAAATTTTAGCATATCTAAAAATAATAAAATGAAAAGAACCAAGATATGATCTTTGCTATTTACCTGACAGCTTACTAGTATATAGTCTTAGTAAATTTAAATGTCATCAAAAAGTACAGGAAATGCAAAGGCTATGTGCCTGCAAGCAGGAAGCTGGCTTGAAAATGTGCCTTTTCAACATGTAAACAAATATATACTTTCTGTATGTTTTACGTACATTAAAAAAAGGGGGGGTTTCAGGTAAATATTGTTTACCAATGGTGAATGGAAATGAAATAAAATATAATTTGTTGAGTGTAAAACTGATGATCTGCCATGTAAGCTATCACTTAATTCATAATACAACCTTTAAAAAAAGTACTAAAACTCTTGAATGTTGTTGTTGTTCAGCACCGTCCAGTCGGTAACAATTCATACAACTCGGTCTAGGGTTTCCAAGGAGTGGCTGGTGAGCTTGAACTGCCGACTTACAGTTCAAACCGACCTTGTAGTCCAGCAGCGCCACACCAGGACTCAAAAACTCTTGAATAGAACAGAAAAAATTAATGAAAGAGAAAACAGAAGTGGCACTGTAGGATAAGCACTAGACTGCGAGTTCACTTGAATTGCAAAGTCACCAGCCACTCCTCAGAAACCCTATACAGGGTTGCTATGAGCTGGAACTAATTCGAAAGCACTTCACAATTTAACATTTGGGGAAAAATAAAGTTTGACTTCTGTGGCAATCATAGATGCTAATTACAACAGCAACTTATCAGTTTTCTTTGAATAACTTAGAATTGTTGTTGTTAAGTGCCATCGAGTCGGTTCCGACTCATAACGACCCTGAACAGGGTTTCCAAGGCTGTAAATCTTTACGGGAGCAGAAAGCCTCATGTTTCTCCCACGGAGCAGCTGGTAGTTTCGAACAGCCGACCTTGTAGTTCACAGTACGATTCATAACCACTACGCTACCAGAGCTCCTTAATAACTTAGCATAGACCTTTAAAATAACATTAAATACTGGAAAAATAAATAAATAAACCCTATTGCTGATGATTTGATTCTACCTCATGGTGAGCTCATCTTACACAGAGTAAACCTGTTCCATATGGGGTTTTTTAGCTGTGATATTTACAGAACAAATTGTCAGGTCCTTTTTTCTGTCACATCACTGACTGGGTTTAAAACATTAAACCAAAATGGCTTGCATAACCCAGAGACCTAAAATACTTGACAAGAGGTTACAAAATGGGCCCTCTCATATGCTGACAACAACATATGCTGCTGGTTGAAATGCAAAATTATATATAACTGTTCCACAAAAAAAATGTGGCAATGTAACTTAAGAGTTCTAAAAGCATTCGTATTTTTGACTTATCAGCAATTCTTTTAGAAATCTACACCAAGATTTTAAAAAATCAGAAATTGGTTACAAAATATATATATATAAAGAAATTCAATATTGTTGTTGTTAGGTGCCATCAAGTCAGTACTGACTCATAGCGACCTTATGCACAGCAAAACGAAACACTGCCCAATCCTGGGCTAAGCTCACTATAGTTGCCACACTTGAGTTCATTGATGCTTCCACTTTGTCAATCCATCTTGTTGGGGTGTCTTCCTCTTTTTCTCTGACCCTCCACCTTACCAAACATGATATCCTTCTCCAGTGACTGCTCCCTCCTGACTATATGTCCAAAGTATGATGACAAAGTTTGGCCAACTTGGCCTCCAGGGAGCACTCTGGCTGCACTTCTTCCAAAATAGATCTATTGGTTGTTTTGGCAGCCCATGGCACTTTCAATACTCTGCTCCAACACTGTAACTCAAAAGCATCAATTCTTCTATGGTCTTCCTTATTCACTGTCCAGCTTTCCCATACATATAAGTTTAATGAAAATACCATGGCTTGGGTCAGGCGCACCTTAGTCCTCAAGCTGACATCTTTCCTCTTCAACACTTTAAAAAGGTCTTGTGTAGCAGATTTGCCTAAAGCAATATGTAGTATGATTTCTTGACTGCTGCTTCCG